ATTAAACCCCCCACCCACCCTTTTATGCACAATCCAAGACAATCCCATACCTTTCTCCCACTCCTTCCTGGTTATGCCCCAGTGTCCCATCCCTTTACTAGGACGAGACATCCTTTCCCTCCTCCACGTTTCCATAACTATATCCACTCCCACAGCCCCCAGTACTCCCTTTCTGATGGCCCTCATAGCCGACGACCCCCCTCTACCCAATGAAAGCTCCGGTTCTGCCCTCATACACCCTGTAAATCCCAAAGTTTGGGACATTACAAGCCCCTCCGTGGCCCTATGTCCCCCTGCCTCTATCAAATTATGTGACCCCTCTCAGTATATCTGTCAGGCCCAATACCCCCTAACCACTTCAGCCCTCATAGGCCTCCAACCCATCATTCAAGCAGACCCACTCACTCCCCATTTAATACCCCCATATTAGCTGTTAAAAAAACCAACGGATCTTTCCGCCTTGTCCAAGACCTTCGCCTCATCAACATAGCCATTGTCCCTATCCATCCCTTAGTTCCAAATCCATACAGCCTCAGCATCCCACTTCTCAGTCCTAGATCTCAAAGACCCATTTTTCTATCCCTCTAGACCCCTGCTCCCAAGATTTTTTCATCTTCACCTGGACGGACCCATACACAAGACATTCTAAACAACTCACTTGGTCAGTTTTGCCACAAAGCTTCCGAGATAGTCCCCATATTTTTAGACAGGTCCTAGCTCAGGACCTCAAACAGTTTCATCATGATCACTCCAAGTCCACCTTATAATACATAGACAATCTTCTACTCTGCAGTCTCTCGTGGGAACAGTCTCAACTTGACACTGCCTCCCTACTTAACCTTCTAGCTTCCAGAAGTTACCGAGTATCCCCCGTCAAAGCTCAAATCTCTTCCCCTCCTGTCACTTACCTCAGATTCCTTCTATCTCAACAAAGAAAGTCCATTACCTTAGACAGAAAATGGCTCCTCTCTGACCTGCCCATTCCCAAAACCAAGACAGAAATCCTTTCCTTTCTAGGCCCTTTCTAAGCCTAGCTAGATATTTTAGAACGTAGATCCCTAACTTCTCCCTGCACCCTGTTGGCAAGACCCCTATACAACCTCAGCAAGAGCCCCCCTAAAAAACCATTATCCTCCTCACCCCGACACTCCTTCATTAAGCTCCGTCAAGCCCTTGTAGAAGCCCCAGCTCTCCATCTTCCTGATTTGTCGAAGCCCTTCTCATTATACATTCATGAGAGGTCCAGTCAAGCTCTAGGAGTCCTAGGCCAATATTATGGCCCATCCTTTGCCCCAGTAGCTTATCTCTCCAAGCAATTAGACCCCACAGTTCGGGGATGGGCCCCCTGCCTACGAGCATTAGCCGCTAGACAGCTCTTGCAGAAAGAAGCTCATAAACTGACATTCAGGGCGCCCCTTACCATTCTGTCCCCACATCACCTAAAAGATCTCTTAACCTACAAAAGTTTACAGACTCTCCCTCCCTCCAGACTCCTGACCTTACTGTCCTCTTTCCTCCAAAATCCCGTTCACCCCCTTTGCCATCCATACCCGAATCATGACTTTTTCCTCCTTTACTGCTCTCTCGCTTTTTTTCCTCATTCCTATTGTCTTCCCCACCACCCCAGCCTCCTTTGTATGGCGATTCAAAGTCAGACAGACTTACACACAGCATCAAACAAAAGTTACTGCCCTCATTGCCACACCAGACTGCCCTCTGAAAAGCTGCTCTGAGCCTTTATACCTCCACTTTCCTCCCTCCACTGAAGTGTTCACTAGCAGCTACCCTTATTCTCCCTACCTCTGCTTCCTCTATGACCAAAAACAAGCCTATTGCAGGCGATGGCCAGATACCTACAGGAGATGTCCCTACTAGTCTTGCACCATTCACTACATAGGTAACTTCCAGTACCCACAGTATTACTCCTCCAACCGTTTCATGAAATATCCCAACGGCTCATTCTCCTTATCAATCCCAGATCCCTGGGACTCTCGATGGGCTGCCAGAGTCACAGCCTCAGTTTACTACGGGGGGTCCTCGACCCCCCACAGTACCCTTCATATCTCTCGAAAGTATGTTCCCTCTCATTCCCAGATCTCTCAAGTTGCATCAGATAGCAGACATTCCGAAAAAGTCATTATCCAAACTCTTGATAGCGCCTCTTCATCTTCTTATCCCCACCCCTCTTCCCATTTCTCCTACTCTTCATTACAGCTCATTCAGGACACCACCATCTTTCTCAACCACACCCTTAACACAGCCAATTGTTTCTTGTGCGCATCACTACAGCGCCCACTGCTGGCCGCCGTGCCCCTTAATATTTCCAACTACTCCTTCCATGCAGAAAGACAACCCCTCTGCCCCCTGGCAGACATACCCCTATGGGAACCAGAATACGCAGATAATCTCACCATCCACCACTGTGTAGGCCCAACTCCACCCCCCTCCAGCGCACTTCACTGCCTCTCTATCTACACCCCTACCTCCGGCTCTAAGACTTTTACGCAACCGGGACACTTCTTTTAGTGTAATGGCAGTCTTTTCAACTCACTGCCTCTCAACTCCGATACACCCTGCATTCTCGTCACCCTAATCCCACAGTTTACACTTTACAGCATGGCAGAATTCCTTGAGCTCCAACCTCCCTTGCCCTCGCGCACAAAAAGAGCTGCTTTCCTTCCCATCATGGTCAGTAGCTCTTTGATCACCTCAGCCATTGGGGCAGGGTTTTCGGGAGAAGCCTTGGGTCACTCTCTATAGGCAGTTAGAGATCTCAACGCCAAACTTGAGGGAGCCCTGACATCCACTGCCGATTCTCTAGCCTCTCTCCAAAGACAGGTCACTTCGCTAGCTAAAGTCACCCTTCAAAACCGGCGGGCCCTAGATCTGCTTACAGCCGAGAAGGGCGGCACCTGCGTCTTCCTCTGGGAAGAGTGCTGCTATTACATCAACGAATCTGGCATTGTAGAAACTGACATTACCAAACTCACCGACCTTGCCTCCAGTCTCCACTCTGCTTCCAATTCCAACCCATTCTCGTCAATACTAACAAACCCCCTCCTCACCTGGCTCTGGCCCATTGCAGGCCCCATAATAATCATTCTTCTCGCCTGTCTCTTCTTACCCTGTATAATAAAGTTCATCAAATCCCAAGTCGGAAAAATCTCTAATCAAGCTTTCAACCAGCTTTTACTCAGGAACTACCAGCTTCTGGCCACAGAAGATCCCTCACCCTCACGTGACCTCCTCACCACACGCTGAGATGGACCCCTCTCTCCACTGGAAACTGTTCCTGGAAACAATGGCCGCAGACGCCTGGCTCCTGACACCCATATCCTCTTGGCACCATTGGAATCAACAGGTCCTCAACCTATGGTTACAGGGAACCTTCATTGATTTCCAACCTGAAGAAGTCCACATCTACTCGTCCTTACTGTGGGGAGTCCTATCAACCCTTTCCTCCCAATCCTCAAGCCCTCACTCCCTTCTCCGCCCCTGTTCAGCAGGAAGCAGCCAGAGAGAAAGCAACGTCCACAAACCCATAGAGGAGAAAGGGGGGAATGAAGGGTCCCCACCAGTAAGATGGCAAACTTCCGGCTTCTCTTCGGGGTCCTCAGTTCCCGCCGGCGCCACCTGAAGCCCAATCACCTCTCGCCCCCCTCCCAATCCCAGCACCTAGCCAACAGCCACCAGCCCCGTAGAAGTGACACCTCAATCAATTCATGCCCCCTCCTATATAACTCAGCACCTTTCCCTAATAAAGCGGAACTCTCCGGTGAATTGCTGCTATGTGTCGCTCCTTTCCTTTCAAGTAGGAGGCTATTAGTTAAGTGTTTTGGGGTAGTCAGAATTTATATGCAGGTATTCAGAAGTGTGGGGGTCGGTTCCCTTAACCCCATACTGCTCAGGGATCAACTGTATATTTATTAGGAGGAAAGCATAACCCAGAGAGATGGTCCTGCAAACAGAGGCACAAAAGATAGGCCATTAGAGTTCTGGATAAATAAGAAGCTTCTGAAGTTCTCAACTGCTCACCATCCCTCATTTTCTCTGACTGCTACCTGCATTCTCACTGTCTTTCCCTATGAAAATCTTGGTCTTTTTTCCTTGAACTTGAAAATCACTAGTTAATTTATGTACACAGGATTTTATTTTCTCTCTCACTTCTTGCTCATTGTTCTTACATTTTGCCTGAATTTCCTACCCTCTTTTCTAGCCATGCCACCCTAAAGGGAAATAAAATCCAGAAGACAGAGGGCATTTAGGGATTTCTCTGGAATCAGAAACTACCTGAGAAGTATCAGGGTCAGAACATTTTATAAATAACATACAGCTGTGCCATAATTTTATTTGACACTATTTTAATGCTATTTATTAATAAAAAATTCCATCTTTGAGAAATAATTATGTAGTGTGTAAAGTGTTGAGAAATATGTGTGGAAACCTTTAAAAGAATGTGAAAAAATGACCCTTCTTTTTTATGAACAACAGGGAGAATTTTAGGAAAAATTTATGAGAATATTAACAATTAAGGAGAGAGCATAGATGAACAAATTAGATTAAGAAGAATTTTTTGATAAAAGTTGTATCAGGACAACCAAAATGGAAGCCTAATGATGTAATCTCTGGTTATGGTTCCAAGCAAGCAGGGCTTTGAAGTTCCACAAATGCAATGTATTCTGCTCTCTCATCTTGCTGAATATGCAAACACAGAGCGAGCAACACGTGTTTTTTTACATTGAACCCCACATGTGGGGTCTCTCTTGCTCTCCCCCGTCTCTGTTTTGTCCCCATCTTTTTCTTTCTTTCTGCCAAGATCTCTCTGCCTTGTTTTCTCTCTCACCTTCTCTATTATTTAACTAATAGTGATTCTATGACTGAGCTCTTGAGTCGCTAAGACTGAATTCAGGAATCTCTTTGAAGTGGCAATAGACACAATCTTTAGTTTTTCATTTTTTTTTTAAGTTAACTCAGGCTTAGTTCTTTAATTCTTTTGGCAGGATGGCTTGACCCCCCTTCATTGTGCTGCAAGAAGTGGGCATGACCAGGTGGTAGAACTCCTGCTGGAACGGGGTGCTCCCTTGCTGGCAAGGACTAAGGTGGGTCATTATGGTAGGATGGAATCCAGAGAACTCTCTAACCCACTTTTTTGATAACCTCTGTTCTTCTTGAAATCAAAGTATCAGCCAAGAATTTTCCAGCTACTGAATAATTGCTTGCTGGGAATGAGGAATACATATCAAACTGTTTTAAAGTTATTTTAAATTAATAAGTACATGCACTAAGGTGTAATTTATACTTTCAAATTCTTTCTGTATTTTTACCTGGTATTCTTGCTACAGATGGAAATTTGAGTGTATTTGTGTTATATATAAATTAGAATATTATATATAAATGAGAGTATCTCTTATATTTCAAGAGTCTGTATTTTTATGATTCTCTGAGATGGCCATAAAATACATGTACAATTGTCTCTTAAAACAGTACAATTAGCAATGGGAGATTAATCTTTCAGCTCTCCAGTCTTTATCTCGTAGGCAATACAAGTAAAAGGCATTGCTCACCAGTGGTGTTGGATGATTATGTTGGGGGTGAGTAGGTAATGTGGAAAGCACGGTCTGTATAGGCTATCCACTAAGAACCATTAAACAAGCATAATGTTCCCTATGGCACAGTACATTTAGCATTTATTTGCCTCATTTCATCACTATGCTCAACCATGGGGAAAACTTTTTTCCATATTAATAAAAACCACGGGAGGAGCTGATTTGTTGGAGGTTTTCATTATAAAATGTATCTTAAAAGCTTCATTACTCTACCCCATTTTCTCACCATACATTGGGGTACCAGAAAATACCCTGAGACATAAATTGAAGATAATCACACAGAATTATTTAATGGGATATGCAGCAACTCTTGGATCCTTAAATACATTAAAAATTTAGGCAAAGGACACTTTCTACATTTTCTCAGTATTCTGCCTCTCCTAAACCCTGAAAAGCATTGGTATCAACTGATGTTGTTAATAGGGTAAACTGAAAAAAATAAGGTGCCAACCCAAGCAAATATTTTTCAACTTATGTATGTTAATTGAATATTTAGTTGAAATTATTGGGAGCAAATCCAGCTCACACATTTAAAATATGTGTAGAATGGACTCAACCTTTGAAGATGTGACCTACAGGCCATGAAAAGGTGACTTCAACTCATATGTATTATTTTCATTCTCATACATGCACTGTGAGTGGTGTAGACTTCTGTTTTTGAACTGTGACATTTTGGGCTGGGTAATGCAGAGATAGTTATGGAGTGTTTTATTGAGGAAACTGATTAAAATTTAAGTGGAAATAACAAAATGTCACTAGTCATGTTAAACCAATAAAAAGCCTATATCAAACTGAGGATAGTGAGATATGCACTTCCATGAACTACAACATCATCTTATCTAGTTTGCCTGTAATTGCCATATTACTAATGAAGACCATGTATTACCTTGATGAATTTTTTTTAATGTCCTTCTTTTAAAATCAAATGTTCATATATGAGGATCCAATATAAGGTATCTGTGATTGCATGATTATACTCATTCATCCATCCAACTATCATAGTGCTAGGAAGTGTTCTGATCACCAAGGAACTGTCATATATCTTCAAAAAGCCCAGAATTTAGTGGGTAAGACAGATAAGGGGATAACTGCAAAAAGTAGAGCTATACAGGGTAAGGAACATGGAGAAGATGAGCTAACCAGGTGGTGAGGTGATACCATTAGCTTGAGAGAAGAATTGACACCTAATGCCAGGCTACTCTCCCTCCCACTCCATCAAAACTCTCAGTTTTGAATCTTCCATTATTCCTCCTTTAACGTCCCTCATTTTAAAAAAAAACACTTGGAAAATTCTAGCTTTCAGCAAACTGTGACTCTTTTCCATAATCCCTGTTCTAATTCATGATGACTTTAATGATCTTGGTAAGAGCAGTCAAAGATCCACCTAGCTGGCCACTCAGTTTGGTAACTACAAACCTTCTGTAACTTCTTTGTCTAACCTCTCACTCTCCACCTGCCCCCTTCTACATTTCAGCTTACTCTTTCTGGAATCCTAACTCCAGAAATTTGTGAATTTTACTAAGTCCATCAGTCGTTGTTTCACTATCCCTCATTCACCTATGCCCTCACCTCTGCCCAGCATCAGTTCTATAGTATCCATACCACTCCCAGACATACTCATACTTCCCTGCTAAAGTTCACCCTGATTAAATCCAACTCCCATTCTTGTAGTGGAATGTAGAGGCAGAAAACATCCAACCACACTGACTGGGTTCCCTGTAAGTTCAGGATCCCTAACCTCATTGGCCGTTAGTGCTGCCTGATAATCACAGTATATTTCCCTAGTCTGTTCACTCTCACTGCCTGCTACCTGACTATTCTATACTTTTTCTTTGATCTTTGAACTTTTCAGATTTCTTTCCTTGTCTTCCCTTCCCTCAACTCTGAGAAAATTGAAGCGATAATAGAGAGTTTCTGGCAGAGCACTGCCTGCCTGTCTGTCTGATCACACGCGTCAGCGCCCGTGGAATCTGTGTTCCCCTGTTACTGTCGTCTGACACAGTTGCTTACTCTTCCCTTACCAAAACACTTTCCTTATTGCCTCTGGGCCATTATACCCTCTGGATTTTCATTTGTTTCCCTTGCTGTCATTTCTCAGTCTCCTTTACTAGTTCCTCCTCCGTCAGGTCTCTGAATGTCAGAAACTCCAGAACTCATTCCTTGCCTCTTTGTCTGTACTCACTAAGAAATCTCATCCAGTTTCATCTTTAAATATTACCTATACATTGATGGCACACAAATAATATATTTCCAGAATTCCATATGTAGGCACCAATTCTACATTGCTGCTTAGATGTCTATTGGGTATCTCGAATTTGGCAAGTTCAAAACTCCCCTCCCCTATACCCAATCTCCTTTTAGTCTTTCTTCCCTCAACTAATGGCCATCCTCTTCTTTCAGTTTGACCAAACGCCTCGCTTGGCTCTTCTCTTCCTCCCCATGTTCATCACCACACCTTGTCACTTCTTCCTTCAAAATATATCACTAAGTCAGCAACTTCTCAACAGTCCCATTACAACCACCTTGGTCCAGATCACCGTCAACCCCACCAGGACAACTGCAAGAGCCGCTAATAGGCCTCCCTTTCCTCTTAAGCCCATTAAGTCTATTTTTAACACAGCAACCAGAGTAATCCTGTTGCCCTAAACCTTCCAACAGCATGCATCTCACTCTGCATGAAAGACAAAGCCGCTGCTCTGCCTTGCAGGCTTCCTACCTCCTCTCTGAACCGCTCTCCTTATACGTTCCCCTCATTCTCTTGCCGTCAGCTGCAGCCCCCTCCTTGCTGTTTATCTGACGTGCCAGGTGTGGTCCCGACATCGCATGTCTGCATTCATTTTCCCTCTGCTACAAGTGCTGCCGCCCAGATCCCCAGGACCGGCTCTCTGACTTTGATCATGTTTTTGATCAAAGTTCACCTTCTCACCGGGGCTATTTCTGGCCAGCTTATCCAAAGTTGCACTCATATACACAAATTTCCTTGGCTTTCCTATGCCTTAGTTTTCTTTTTAACACGGATGGCTTTCTAACATATCATACATTTTAATGATTATTCTTTCCTACCACATTATTCTTGTCTCATTCTTGTCAACCACACTAGAACATAGCTTCCCTGAAGAAAGGGGTCCCCTGTCTGCTGTGTTCCCTGATGTGTCCTTAGTACTTGATCAGGGTTCAAGAAGATGCCCAGTAAGTATTTTTAAAATGAACAAAGAATTAAATGGTGAAGGAATTATTTTCCACATAATGTCTAAGTGAATAAAAAAGCATTAAAATGGATAGAATATTAGAGAAATATGTGACACACCAGTGCAAACATGGTCTACTGCACTTTGCCCTTTATATTATCTTCCTCCTAGGGCATAAAAACCTTCTCATCAACCTGGTCTTTTTTTCTAAGTTCATATTTTATGGATATGGATATTTTATGGATATCTAAATATATAAGCAATATTATGAATAAAGTGCATTTCAAAAACAAAGAAAAAGAATTTCAAAATTTCATATGCTGCTGCCACCCACAAACCATTCCATTTAAGATTCTGACACACTTGTTTTTAGTTGACCCTTGCTGTTGAAATCTCCCTCCTTGCTGAGTGTGGGGCCTTGGACCTCCTGTGGCTTCTTATCTAATGACTCTCAAACTGGATCCTGGGTCAACAGATATTTTCTGGGGACTCTGTTTGCACTAATTATTAATAAAAGAAAATACTCTCTTTGCCCAGTCTTTTTAATGGGCAGATGTTTTCTAATTTAGTTTCTTTCCTAATTGTACTTACTTTTTTCCCCAAAAGCTTATTTACATGCCTTTAAAAAATGAGAATTTTACCTGGACTGGTAATTATCAGTGAGTTCCCTTGTTGTCTTGTGTTTCTGCTCTTGGCCCTTGAGAATTCAGGCTAAAGCTCTTTGGGGCAGTATCAGTGATGACAAATTTAGATTACCTCAAATTTTAAAAGTTGGGAGGTCATTGATATATGGTACACATTTGCCTCACACTTTTTTTTTCTTTTTTCTTTTTTCTTTTATTTTGGTATCATTAATGTACAATTACATGAGCAACATTACGATTACTAGACTCCCTCCATTATCAAGTCCCCCCCACATACCCCATTACAGTCACTGTCCATCAGCATAGTAAGATGCTATAGAATCACGACTTGTCTTCTCTGTGTTATACTGCCTTCCCTGTGCCCCACTCCCTACATTATGTGTGCTAATCATAATGCCGCTTTTTCCCCTTATCCCTGCCTCACATTTCCTATGTCTTTCTGGACTGCTTTCTTCAAGTCTAATTTATGTCTCATGATAGAAAAAAGGAATCATAGAATTTCAGGGCAACATTGATCTAAGAGATGATCAAAGTCTCTTTCTCTCCTTGACCTATGCACTTGCTTCTCTCAACTTCTCTTCTGGAAATATGCAAGAGGCTGTACCCACTTCCTCCTCCTTCTTCCACTTGCCCTTCCATTTAGAAGCACAGAAATTCATGCAGAGACATTAACTGAATGTAGACTTCTATGTATGGAATTGATTAAAAATAATATAAGCATCAGCTATCCATATGTTTTTGTGTTATCTAATAATATTTGAACCCCAGTAATTGTGAGATCCAACTGAATTGTTGCATATACTCTGTATTCATTCATGACATATATATTAATTTGTGTTTTTGCCTAAAGAATACATACTTATGAAATTAAATATTCTCTTAGCATCCATCTCCACCAGACATAATTTGGTGTATATTTAGATGTCAAATACAAGTCATTTATTCCCTGCTACCAACTGTGCAAGAGATCAAGAACTGACTTTGTAGTGTTACATAACCTGAAAGTGATGAGTAAAATGTGTAATTGTTTTGTTTTGTTTTGATGCACAGAATGGGCTGTCTCCACTTCACATGGCTGCACAGGGAGACCATGTGGAATGTGTGAAGCACCTGTTACAGCACAAGGCTCCCGTTGATGATGTCACCCTAGACTACCTGACAGCCCTCCACGTTGCTGCACACTGTGGCCACTACCGTGTAACCAAACTCCTCCTGGACAAGAGAGCTAATCCAAACGCCAGAGCCCTGGTAAACCTGGCCCAGTCCACATTAACTGAACACAGATCGAGAGAAGCAAACCCACACTGATTGCTTACTGGTGTAGACACCGGCAGTGCATGGTTACAGATATGTAGTTAATTCTGCTAAGTTTGTCACCTCCCACAAGCTGCCTGCCTACTTCACAGTTTGCTATTGATGGTGAACAAGGATAGATTTAAGAGAACACTAAGGTAACATTTCCATAACTAGCAAGTTGTAGATAGATATGAAAGCTATGGAATGATAAGCAATTTTAAATGGAAAGTAGTTGAAAAATATGAAGTTATAAAATAAGTTCTAGATACCTCTATATAGAGTGAGAATAAAAGTGGGAAAAAGTTTAACTTTATTAATCTCTTTATGAAAAGCAAAATATTTTAAAGTGGTGAATAGCTTTGACTATGTAATATAGTATAAAATGTAAGCCCATGAAGAGTTCACTCAGACAATTTCCTTGTTAACCTGGTTATCCAACCATAGGCTAATAGAAAAGGGATGCTTAGCATCTTCCTGTTATAGGAGGCATTTTATATAAACCATTCCAGGAATTGCTCAAGAGAAATGTGCAAGAGGCTATTTCTAGAGGAGCTCTGTGCCCCTCAAGGTCTAATATTCAATAAATCTTCCTTGCTTCACTTATGTTTAACAATAATTCTTGGAAGTATTAGCCACACACTAATTTATGTCTCTTGTTTCCTAATTCTCAAACTAAAAGTAAATCCTTTTTCCTTATGTATTAGATAGTTTATATCAGTTAGATTAGTCCACAGACAATATATAAGATGAGAGAATATCATTAAAATTATGAACTACTAAGTCTTATTTTTATTTGAAATTTTCCTTTGGAATCAATTTATTCCTCATTTTCCTTGAAGCAAATATACCTTTAGGTTTTTGTGCAATTATGTGAGAATATATATTTTCACATAGGAAGAAAATGCTCATTTTCATTTGGATAGTCCTCAATAAGTTTATAAAATATCACAATCTAATAATTACAAATCTTTTAAGCACTGCATATACATGTGACTATTTATATCTGGCTTATTATATACCTCACAAATGGAAATAACAAACATTGTGAAGAATAATAAGCCATCAGGTTAAGGCCATGTCCTTCCCTGAGAACTGCTAGTGTAGACAAATACTGACTAATGATCAGTCTCCACTGAGACAAGCAAAATTGTTAGCTCGCATAATATATTTTCTCTATACAGGGGCAATTATTCAAGTAGAAATATAATACTTACATGTAACACATAAGTATTAAGCATGGGTTTAGTTAACAAATTTTTATGTAATTTTCCTCAATTCCTACACATTAGCCTAGTTTGGAAAGTTAGAAAGTGCCTTAAAGACTTCTCAACATTCCTTTGCCTCTGAGAGGTATCTCCTACCAGTTTCAGAAATTCTCTATGTGTTTCTTGAAAATATTCAGGAACTTAATAATCATTTCTTTATAAAATAAAATGTACCTGATTGGCATTTAATATAAAACCTTTTTAATATAATAAATATAACCTCTGGATATATAAAATATTATCAATAATGATTTCTGCTAATGTACAACTCCTATGAAACTTTTTGAATAAAATATATATAACTTCCAGATATAAAAAATTATCAACATAAATATGACTTCTGCTAATTTCAGCACTTCCTCTCTGAAGAAAATGGTGGCAAAGCTGAAACATTTATTAAAGAGGTGCCATGTTCTTAGATTTTTTTTTTTAAGTAAAACAGATACACTGTTTTTATGCTCTAAGAAATGGTCCTTCATCAGAAGAAGACATGGTCATCTTGATGCCTCTGAAAGCCATTTCATAACCTGCCGAACAGTATACTTCAAAGCATCTTAGAATTTCTAAAGTATAATGCCTCTCTATTTTTCCTTCTTTGAGGAGTAGGCCCATATAGGTTTTTGTTTGTTGTTTGTTTCACTTTTGTTTTCTCTGTAAGCACACAAGAAGAAGTATATACAGACCCACCACATATAAAAGCAAAGTTCAGTGCATACAGGACCACATCACATTTTCTTCCAAATTCCAACACCTATGCTGTTTGAAGAAATGGTAGCATTATGTGACAATGTAACATTATTGCCTGCAATGTGCCAGCATGGAGTGGTGTGAGAGTTTTTTTGTGCATGTTTTCAACTAACTTGATTGTCTTTTGCACAGAATGGTTTTACTCCACTGCACATTGCCTGCAAGAAAAACCGCATCAAAGTCATGGAACTGCTGGTGAAATATGGGGCTTCAATCCAAGCTATAACAGAGGTAGAAAAATGTTTCAGCTTGTCATGAAACATTCCTTCTCTTACTCCTTCTTCCCCTTCCTTTCACTCATTTTCTGTCCTCTCCACTCAAGTTTTATTGATCAGAAGAAGCCCCAAAGCCCCCACCAGTGCAGAGGAGTAAAACTGCTATTGCTTTGTTTCGCAGTCTGGCCTCACACCAATACATGTGGCTGCCTTCATGGGCCACTTGAACATTGTCCTCCTTCTGCTGCAGAACGGAGCCTCTCCAGATGTCACTAACATTGTGAGTATGGCTTGGGTCAGAATAACCACAGGGAAAAAGAGAGGAAAAGTGAGTGTGGTGTGTGTAGGGATGTTTGTGTATATGTCATCAAAATGAGCGGCTGCATTTGAGACAAGCCCCTGTGATAGCATATGTTTGAAGTGCCATAACTTCACTGAGAAGAACGTTGAAGGGTAAGAATTGTGTTAGAAAATAAAATGGAAGCTATGGATTAAGACTGTTTCAGCTTCCTGGTGTTCATGCATCTTAAGTGATATTGATTAAAACAAAAAGCATTTTAAAGGCTCCTCTGAACATGAATGAATGATTGGTTGGAGTAAAATCTCCAGGGCTCACTCTAGTGGCCTGAGTGAGTTGTATTCCAGGTATTTTGATTCAAGTATCAAGTAAGTCCTGTAATCAACCATATCAAATGATTAACCAGCAACAGTCCAATATTAGGGATTTTTACTTGATATCAAATCCTCCATCCTTTAGTTACATGGATTTTTCATTTCTAATTTTACTTTGATTTGATTTTGTTTGCTAGAATGGAGTCCCTGTTTACCTGAAATAGTTATACCATTGCCACTTTTCATGTATTCTGAAAAAGGATGTTGGTCTTCAGACAACTTTAAATCTCCAGTAGATACTTGATATCCTGGAATTCTACATAAAATTAGGGTTTTTACTTCCAATTTCTTTATATTTCTTTCGCTTTCTTGGAGTCTATCCTTTTAAACTTTGATCATCAAATACAAAGTTTCTTCTGAGCAAGAGAACATGCTCTGTGCAAGATGCAGTCGTGTATTTGAAGTTCAACAGGGGCCACTGGAATACTGAAATTTTTTTTAAAGTATGCAACAAAGTCTCCCCAAATAAATGTTTGTGCTTATTATTAAAATGAATCATATTTTCAAAAGCAGTTGATTGACTATTGTTGCTAATTTTTGGAATCTCATTCCATTTGAATTGTGAAACAGTGTTCAGTTTCACTTTTTATTTTTATACCTCTCACAATCTCATTTCTTTGTATTTCACATACAATTTCTGTACTGAAGTTCCTGATTCATGGACAAAATCAGTGTGATATAAATTTATTTGATTTTAAATATTATTTAACACTTCATATTATTCATAATTGGAGCATAATACCATTAAAGAATTGAAATATAGTCTATAAGTTTCCCTAATTATATCTTATTGGCCCTAAAGTAATAATGTAATACTGATCTTTAGTTACTCTATTAAGGATAAGAGAATATGCCAACTTAAGTTTAATTTCTAGACACTTCTAGAACTTTCAAAGAAATCCTTTTTCTGTTCAGAGATAACCACCTCCCTCTTTTACACTGAGACTTGTACAAACCAGTAACTTTCAAGAAAAGTATTCTGCATTCTTTCCCACTGTAAATAGTTTCTCTATTTTCCTTCCCATACCTACAGGATCAATGATTTTACTCTGTTAAATTACATTATGTGAGATGGTTGTTTAAATCCCCTAGATTAATCTTTTTGAGGGGAGATTTTTTGTAAAATTGTTAATATTCATATGCTGTCCTGAGGGAAAAAAAATGCTAGGTAGCCTTAATTTATATTTTCAAATAAAAATAAAGCATAATTAAAATAGTAAAAATGTTGACATCCTTTAGATTTTTAAAGACTCACAAATTTGGCAGTTACTGTATTAGATATTCATTTCTTCCTGTTGGTCATTATAAAGTCCTTCCTTTTGTTTTGTCTTCTCATTGGTGCAGTATCTACCCTCCCTTCAGCCCCCTCAAAACAAATATTTGAGAGGCACCTGCCAATGAAATCCTCCCCTTAACATGTTCCCTACTTGTTCTTTATTTGCTTGTTTTTATTTTTGTGTGATGTGTCCCTTCAAAGAGCAACAGGGTTGCTCCCAGTTACGTGTGAATTTCAGATAAGCCATGAATGATTGATTGCAGTGTAAGTATATCCCATGCAATAGTTGAGATATACCTATGCTAAAATAATTATTCACTGTTTGTCTGGAATTCAAGTTTAACTGGTCATCCTGCATTTTTATTTGCTAAATCTGGCAACCCTACATTTAGAGCAATGGGATGCCTGTGAACTTGTGTATTCTCAGAATGTGAGGATATAGCTACTGAACCCCAAACTCTTTACAGGTTGATTATTAAACCGTGTGAACACTGACTGTCTGCTTGCTGTGTCAGAGCTGGTCATTTCCTGACCCCAGAGCACCCTACCCTTGGAGCCTTTGTGTGTTGCCTGGAATCATGTTGCATTTTTGAATGCAAGGCTGTGTGTTGTGCTTTGATGCTTTCCAACTGATGCAGCCAAAGTGAAAGTGAATGTAGCTGTCAGCATAGTCAGTTTTAACAACTGAGAGGCATGAAGTTTAGTACCCTGCTTTGGACATGAGCAAACCCATTCTCTTGCCAGTCTTGTTTCTGTCTCAAAATTCACTCAACGTGTGTGGCATACCAGTAACTCAGTCACCTGCGGATATTATTACTGCAAAGCTCCCTTTCCAGAAAAATCATAAATGCACTTTAAAACCTAGCAAGCTGAACTGCTAGTTGTAACATGTCCTTCACCCAGTGTATTCATTGACAGCCATGATAGTACCAAGCACTTTTGGAGCTATTCAGAATACAGTGTGGGGGTGTTTCCAAGGGTTCCTTTTTACAACAAATCAATGGGTTCACAGCTAAGTTCAAACTTCATATTATGCTTAAGAATTTCCCCTGTCCTTAAAGTTAATTAGCTTAAGACACAGAAGACAAGGGTTTTAAATAAGATGAGGTGCCCAACAATCAAGAGATGGAAGTTATTGATAAAAACAATATACACCTGCCTTCATTTTCTTGTTCATACTTAATGGATAAACAGGGTAATATAAATATAAAAGGGAAGGGCAAATCATCATAAAACTTGATTACCTGAGAATCATTAAATAAGAATTGAACAAGACCATTGTTTTAAAGTGAAGAGACCATGTGTGTGCATATAATACTTTTCTTCAAATATGTTGAATATTTTAGATGAGGTATTATATCTAACTCATCAATTTCAAATATGTAAACCACAGAAAAATTTATTTTAAGTATAAAATGAGGGTATTAGAAATATTAAGACTAACATTGGAAATATTTTACATTTTGAAAACCTTCTATTGATAAAGCTTGGCTTATAAAATAAATGTATAAGTTCATCATTGAGTTCATACTCCTGAGGCCTCTTTGACTTAACTTTTTGTAAAGAAACTTATTTTTGTCTCCATTTTCACCAAAATTAGAAAAATTGCTGTACTTCTAAGACCTAGAAATGGAGTAAAGATTTAAAAGTTTTTTTTTAATAGTTAAAAGATCTTAGCTTTATCTATGTAGAGACAGATTTTAAGTGATACAGAAAGCAAACTAGAAATCATTATCCAAAGAGGAAAAATCTTGCCATACATCCAAAATCCAAAGACTAATATTGCTATTCTAATGTTGTTTTACAAAATAATAGACTCCAGACACATTTACTTTGCAAAAATCAAAATACGTCATCAGAAAATAAGGCCATTAGATGATAAATGAATCATCAACAAACAAGTTAATGTCCAGTTTCATGTTTTCAAAATCAAATTATTTGAAATGAATTTCTCATAACTTCATAAGGAATGGGTCTCTGAATACTAGGAAAACAATTAACTGTGAGCTATATACCAAACTAAAGTTCACTTAAATCTTCTGGATTTAAGGGTTTGTTGTGTAAATAATCAGAAGAAATTATTCACTGGGATTTGTGAGATGCATCCAATTACCACAACCAACTTTACAATTGATTTACTTTATTTGAAGTGGTTTACTTTACCTGGTTAAAATCAGCCTTATTTTCTAGGATAGTTGTAGTGACTAAAAGTAATACTTTTTATTCTAGTATCTTATTGTAACTGTAAAATTATGTGAAAGCGTGAACCCCACCTTTTTCAGAACTACATGTGATTCTAAAATATGCTTATTAAAAAAAAAACCCTGTATCTTAAAGGCAGTAATTAACAGGCTTCCCAATGAAAAAATTTCTTACATCTAATCACCATTCCTCATGCTGCAACCTAAACTACTGTTTCCTGATGAGCATGTTACATCTCGATGTGGCACGAAGATGCATGAAGATACCCGAGGAATTACCTGGTGCCCAGTGCTGCCCGCCTCAACAGGGACTCTGTTAACAGTTGCTTTACTCATCTCTCGGTAGTTCTCTCAAATAACTGTCTGCCCTTAAATATGCTCATTAGCAATAATAGGAGACCTCCTGGACAAATCAAATTTCTTGTATGAACAATCATTGTCTTGTCTCATAACACAAAGACAAATCAGAGAAAAAAGAGTCTATTTCGAAAGTAAATTTTGAATTCTGAAAAGGAAGAGCTTATGTACAGTACACAAATGATGTGATTTTCTTGAGGTGTGTTGACTTGGCCTTCAGCATCTAGAGATTCTCATTAAAATGGGATTAAGTTATAATTCACATAGGCAAGTGTGACAATGACAGAGTTTAGGTGGGAAGGATACAAGGTAACTTCTTATCACCCAAAACAGTTCAGGTTATGCCAGGTTGATTGTTCAAGCTCAGGGTATCCTGGATGTTTGGGTAAGTTCCCTGGTTTGTCATGGACTGAAAGAAAATAAACTTTTATCCTTAGGAAGATGGAGAAGATTTAAAACGTATTTTTTCAGACTGAATAATTATGAAATAATGACACCTTTTTATAGATTTCCTAAACCTTTGGATATATTGCTGAATATCACAAGAGGGCACGTTTTTATTCTTTACCATCCAGAGCAATGGGTTTGTTTATAGTTCAAAAATTTTTGTTTCCTGACAGCGTGGGGAGACTGCCCTGCACATGGCAGCCCGGGCAGGGCAGGTAGAAGTGGTCCGGTGCCTCCTGAGAAACGGTGCCCTTGTCGATGCCAGAGCAAGGGTAGGTGCTGGTGCCTGGGGTTCTTATGTGCATGAGCTCCATCTTCAAGAGGTTTCTATCATTCATGTACTTGGAATGAAGGAAGTGCCATGGACTGTAAATGAAAGCATCAATTCAATAACAGTTTTCCAGGCAAAAAAGAAATGGCACAGTAAACATACACAATGGAAAATCCACCCCAATTCCACAAACATAAACATCTGAAAAAATGTACAATTTGGAATCTATGAAATATAGCACTAACATCCTAATATTTATTTCACCTATTAGAAGAGCACTTTCACACTGAATCTTTTTCATGAATTTTAAAAATTTACCTATGTTATATAGTTACTATACATATTATAATTAATTTCTTACCACCAAAGCCAATCAGATTTCCACAGACATTCCTTACTAGTTACTTAGAAACAAATTATACTCAAAGTTACAATGTTTTTCCCCTCATCTGTTTTACTTTTCTCCTTTCTGTAGTGAGTTCTACTTTTCTTCTTACACCGAGTTTATGTATTTAGACATTCTGAGCTTCTACTATTTCAAAATAGAATTTTGGCCCTGGAGATTGCATAATAGGATTCTTCTGTTTATAATTGCTTCTAATTCCCCCCTCCCCTCCAGGTTGATTTTTCCTTCTTCTTCGCTGCAAATTCCATTTTCCAATTCCTTTTTTCCACCTTCCTCCTTTACACTGAGTGTACTAGTAATTTGTATTAATATATTGTATCTTCTATTCCCTATTCCACATTGTTCCATTAATTTTTCTACTAGCATCTTTGGAATTCTCATGGACTATTTCAGTGCTTTCTCTCCTTTTTCAGTATTTGATACACCTAAGGTAGAACTCACTTCCTCTTGACTCATATCACTGTGACTCCATTTTAGAGACAGTGTTGTACGGGAATGAAAGCACCCAGCTGGAGTCATACAAACATTCATTTCAGGCAAGGTATTTCACTTTCAGGTCTATCATTTAAAATGTGAGCATTGGACTAAGAAACCTTTAAACTCTTTTCTAGATGTTTTTAATGTTATTTGACTCTGAATTACAGCATTTTTCTCTGCAGACCTTCATGCAGAATCCAACGATACATGGGCAGCCTTGACATTACTCTTTTCCTTTCAGATTATGTGTGCTTTTCTGTCTTGTTGTACAGTAGTATAATGTTTGTTCTTTGGTAATTGTTGGTATGTGATGTCCTTAGATATTTAGAGCTTTCATTATTCAAACTGTATTCTTCCCTGCCTTGGTATTTTTCTTGTTTCCTTTTTTTTTGTCTCTTAAAGACTATTTTTTAGAGCAGTTTTAGGTTCACAGCAAAATTGAGAGGAAGGTGCAGAGACTTCCTGTCTATTCCTGACCCCACACATACACAGCCTCCCCCATCATCAGCATTCCCCACCAGAGTGGTACGTTTGTTACCATTGGTGAACTGACACAGAAACATCATAATCCCGCAAAGTCCAGAGTTTACATTAGGATTCCCTCTTGGTCTTGTATATTCTGGGGGTTCATCCATACAGTGTCATACAGAGTACTGTCATGGCCCTAAAAATCCTGTGTTCTGCCTCATTTCTTTTTAAAGTTATCTGGCATTTAGCTGATAAAATAAATTATAATCAATGTTTTCTGAATATCATGAATTTCACTATTTTTACCAGAAATTGTGGTAGTATTCCTGCTAGTTATCTTTTAATCCATATTTAATAATAAAAGTGCTTCCAATTTATCTTTTATTTATTTATTTATGTAGGTATCATTAATATACAATTACATGAGCCACATTGTGGTTACTAGATTCCTCCCATTATCAAGTCCCCCCCACATACCCCATTACAGTCACTGTCCATCAACGTAGTAAGATGCTACAGAGTCTCTACTTGTCTTCTCTGTGCTATACTGCCTTCCCTTTGCCCCACCCTACATTATGTGTGCTGATCGTATTGCCCTTTATTCCCCTTCTCCCTCCCTTCCCACCCATCCTCCCCAGTCCCTTTCCCTTTGGTACCTGGTAGTCCATTCTTGTGTTCTGTGAGTCTGCTGCTGTTTTGTTCCTTCAGTTTTTTCTTTGTTCTTATACTCCACAGAGGAGTGAAATCATTTGGTACTTGTCTTTCTCTGCCTGGCTTATTTCACTGAGCATAATACTCTCTAGCTCCATCCATGTTCTTGCAAATGGTAGGATTTGTTTTCTTCTTATGGCTGAATGATATTCCATTGGTATACATACCACATCTTCTTTATCCATTCATCTACTGAATGACACTCAGGTTGCTTACACTTCTTGGTCCAATTTATCTTTCAAAATACACCCACTTATTATTTTTCTACATTCAAATTTTAATTTATTATAGTTTTAATGGAAATTTTCTCATTATCATGTATCTCTGTAATTTTTTTAAGTTATCAATTTAACCTATTATTGCATTATACCTTTTTGGATACCATCTGAAACCCCTTCCTCAAAAGCCACAGACTACAGACTCCTCCCTTTAAAATATTATAACATTTATGTATTTATATGTATCTATGTATTTTTACACACATATTCCATCATTTCTATTGGTTCGCTTCTCTTTTGAAACTATATTTAGTCNTATTCTTCCCTGCCTTGGTATTTTTCTTGTTTCCTTTTTTTTTGTCTCTTAAAGACTATTTTTTAGAGCAGTTTTAGGTTCACAGCAAAATTGAGAGGAAGGTGCAGAGACTTCCTGTCTATTCCTGACCCCACACATACACAGCCTCCCCCATCATCAGCATTCCCCACCAGAGTGGTACGTTTGTTACCATTGGTGAACTGACACAGAAACATCATAATCCCGCAAAGTCCAGAGTTTACATTAGGATTCCCTCTTGGTCTTGTATATTCTGGGGGTTCATCCATACAGTGTCAAAGAGAGTACTGTCATGGCCCTAAAAATCCTGTGTTCTGCCTCATTTCTTTTTAAAGTTATCTGGCATTTAGCTGATAAAATAAATTATAATCAATGTTTTCTGAATATCATGAATTTCACTATTTTTACCAGAAATTGTGGTAGTATTCCTGCTAGTTATCTTTTAATCCATATTTAATAATAAAAGTGCTTCCAATTTATCTTTTATTTATTTATTTATGTAGGTATCATTAATATACAATTACATGAGCCACATTGTGGTTACTAGATTCCTCCCATTATCAAGTCCCCCCCACATACCCCATTACAGTCACTGTCCATCAATGTAGTAAGATGCTATAGAGTCTCTACTTGTCTTCTCTGTGCTATACTGCCTGCCCTTTGCCCCCACCCCTGCTACATTATGTGTGCTGATCGTAATGCCCCTTATTCCCCTTCTCCCTCCCTTCCCACCCATCCTCCCCAGTCCCTTTCCCTTTGGTACCTGGTAGTCCATTCTTGGGTTCTGTGAGTCTGCTGCTGTTTTGTTCCTTCAGTTTTTTCTTTGTTCTTATACTCCACAGATGAGTGAAATCATTTGGCACTTGTCTTTCTCTGCCTGGCTTATTTCACTGAGCATAATACCCTCTAGCTCCATCCAGGTTGTTGCAAATGGTAGGATTTCTTTTCTTCTTATGGCTGAATGATATTCCATTGTGTATATGTACCACATCTTCTTTATCCATTCATCTACTGATGGACACTTAGGTTGCTTCCATTTCTTGGCTATTGTAAATAGTGCTGTGATAAACATAGGAGTGCATATGTCTTTCAAACTGGGCTGCTACATTCTTAGGGTAAATTTCTAGGAGTGGAATTCCTGGGTCAAATGGTATTTCTATTTTGAGTTTTTTGAGGAACCTCCATACTGTTTTCCACAATAGTTGAACTAGTTTACATTCCCAGCAGCAGTGTAGGACGGTTTGCCTTTCTCCACATCCTCACCAACATTTGTTGTTGTTTGTCTTTTGGATGTTGGCCATCCTAACTAGTGTGAGGTGATATCTCATTGTGGTTTTAATTTGCATTTCTCTGATGATTAGTGATGTGGAATATCTTTTCATGTGCCTGTTGGCCATCTCAGTTTCTTCTTTGGAGAAGTTTCTGTTCAGATCCTCTGCCCATTTTTTAGTTGGGTTATTTGCTTTTTGTTTGTTGAGGTGCATGAGCTCTTTATATAATTTGGATGTCAACCCCTTATCAGATAATGTCATTTATGAATATATTCTCCCATATGGTAGGATGTCTTTTTGTTCTACTGATGGTATCCTTTGCTGTACAGAAGCTTTTTAGTTTTATATAGTCCCATTTGTTCATTTTTTGCTTTTGTTTTCCTTGTCTGGGGAGGTATGTTCATGAAGAAGTTGCTCATGTTTCCAAGAGATCTTTGCCTATATTTTTTTCTAAGAGTGTTATGGTTTCATGACTTATATTCAGGTCGTTGAGCCATTTTGAGTTTACATTTGTGCATGCACTTGGGAAGTCTACTTTCCTCTTAATTGGATTTAGAAATAGTACCTCATGGCTATATAATTAGGGGGCTAAGCCAAATTTTGCCTACTCCCAATATAGAACAAAAGAAAAATTGCACAATTATAATAATCCTTCTTATTTTAAAAAGGCCAAGCAGCATACTATATTCACCAGCTATGAGCATAATAACTTGCTGGGCAGACTGGAGAGCAGGAGCTCAGTGGCATGTGTTCCTTGACTAACTAATGTGTATGTCTCTAGGCCCTGCCCTCAGGAAGGTCCTTTCTTGTCCAGTGTCCTCCATGGGCATAACCGAGAGGGCCACCAGGGTCTGTCCATCTGGGGGCTCTCCTTTAGGTGCCCATTTTCTGTTGGTACATAAGGGGTCTGGCATTTGCTTTAGAGATTGAACAATTACAGGGCCCCTAGGGTTAAACTCATTTGAAAATTCACTTTAAATTTCAGTTTAGCTGCCAAAATATTTGGTTTCTGGGAATCCTGTTAGCTAGGAATGAGTAGCAGAAATTTTATCAAATCTTTGCATCAAATAGCCCAGCTCTTGCTATTTCTGTCTTTGGGTAAAAGGAGTTAGGGGC